GCCCGGGCCCGGGCCTGGGCAGTCGCAGCCGGCAGTAGGAGCTGAGAAGGAAAAAGTGAGGAGCCAAGGGCGGATAATGAGCCCGGAGAAGGGGCGAGGAATGAGAAGAGCGGGGGAAATTCTCCTCTTTGCACTTGCTGAGCGACCGACCTGCTCGATCTTGGTCTTCCACCGTGTGGAAGACTTGACCCGGGGTTGTGAGCTTGTAGTTAACAGTGTTACTCTGGTGAAAATACTGAGCGGGATTGCAAAGTGCGTTGTTCGTGATAAATTATTATAAACTTGTTTGAATAATTGCATCTTAATTTCAATCAATGTTATGTGATATTTTTAAATAAGGACAGTTGCATTTTGGAGATGATACAGCATGTTTTGGTTTCACTGAGTTGCCTGTGTGCCTTGTAAGTTTGATATGAAATGAAAATAGGTGCTAAAAATTATACTTCTGTCTTTACAGGTTTCATGGTGAGGGATATCAGGAGGGGTATGCTGAAGGCAGTCATGTTGGAGTTGTTGAGGGAAGGAGGTATGGATCGCTCCATGGTGCCAAGATTGGGTCTGAGGTAAATGGGAAAATACTTAAGAATCACAATGTTTTTGGTGTTAGAAAATGACTGTAACAGAAACAGTTGAGCAAAGTCCGATAAATTGGTAATCTGAAGCCTGCTATGTTATACTGCTTTGTATGTGTCCAAGAGGGCCCATAAAACTAAAGGTGGTATTTTGATTTGAACAGTTAAATAGGTGGGTTTGTGTTTCCTGAGCTTATTTGCTCTGTGGGATTTTGTTTTTTTTTTTTTCTGAAAGGGACAATAAGAAGAGACAAATAAAATCAAACAAGCTTACCCAGAAAAAAACTATGATGGACTGTGCATTTATTTTTATAACCCAAAACTGGGGCTAAAGGCCCTCCTGTACCATCTCCTGTGGCTCAGCATTAGGGAAAAACATGGAATGTTGAGATACCTTGGGTGGAGGACAATAAAGGGGCAATTCTGGGTGTCTCTGTTGCACTCTGTTATTTCTAATACTGGCAGAGTTTGTTGATTGAGGCACAATTATTCTTCAGTAGATGGAATCA